AGAAGAAGAAGAAGAAGAAGAAGAAGAAGAAGAAGAAGAAGAAGAAGTAAAGAGCTGGTTTGCAAAGACAAAGATTAAACAGATTCATATCAATAAATCTGGAGACATAAAGGATCTCAGATTCATAGTCTCTCTGTGTGTCTCTCTCACACACACATACACACACATTCTCTCTGTCTTTCTGTCTCTCTCTGACACACACAGACACATAGACACACACATGCACACACACACACACACACACAACCACTATCAACAAAAATTACAAATTAAATAGAGTCAATTAAAATCTAATGTGACACCAATCTATATAACTTGGATCACAAATGGTCCAAGTTTTTATGGGCTCCCAGAATAGCTAAAGCTTGGTTGTACATGGGCACCTGTGAGTCACTGCTTCCCTCAGAAGCTAACTCCTTATACTTAGAGATAAGAGACTTTAAAGACATCACAATGAAAACCTTTTGATCTTCATAAAGCAAAATTGTGAGACCCGGATTAAATCAAATTCCTTTGATAGAAATGGAATTTGACAATGTAACCCACTCTTGGAAAGATGTATACACAAATCTTTGGCACATTTTCTTTCAAATAAACTCTTTTATAATCTTCTCTGCCTAATTATTTATGGAAGTTATGATGACTGAAGGATGAGCCAAAACAACTTATTTTAATTGGTTGTCTAATAAGAGAACTTCTAGCCGTACTCCCTCTAAAGGTTGGGCATGTTCTGCCACCTATAATCAAGCTCTATAACTGGGGTAGCGTCCAGCTTGACACTCCCTGGGTGCATCCTGTGAAGACAGCATTAAACTGGCTATTTAGAGAAAGCCTCAAAGGGAGGGTGTCTGTGCGTGAGTGTATGTGTTATTTGTATGTGAGTGCACATACGCCATCACATAACAGACATGCATGTGTTTATTCCTATGTTAGAAGTTACTTCAAAAGTTAAACTTATTTTACAGAGAATAGAGCAAACTTTAAAATGTTAAGATGTTACTTAGCAAATTATATTCTTGCTATGAAGAGATATTTTAAAACCAGATAGACGTCAGCAGTCTGGTTGTCAAAGCTCATTTCTCTCCTTCCCCCTCCTTTCTTCCTTCCCTTCTTCCCTCTCTTCTTCCCTTCCCTCCCTTTTTCTTTTAGTTACTGATAGATGACACTTTACAAAGATTAAGTTACTTCATGAAACTAAGTGTTGAAACATGTACAGATACATGGTAATTTATAAATTCTTGCAGATCTTAGAGCAAATTCCTTAAAATGCTAAGGTGTTACTTAGCAAAATATATTCTTGCTATGAAGAGATATTTTAAAACAAAATGGACATCAGCGGTTTGGTTGTCAAAGCTCATTTCTCTCCTACCCTTCTTCCTTTCTTCCCTCCCTCCTTCCCTCGCTTCTTCCCTCCCTTCTTCCCTTCCGTCCCTTTTTCTTTTAGTTACTGATAGATGACAATTTACAGAAACTTAAGTTACTTCATGAAACTAAGTATTGAAACATGTACAGATACATGGTAATTTATAAATTCTTGCAGATCTTAAAAATTCATCTTGAGTTCTTTTTTATTGGATGTTTTATTTACATTTCATATGTTATTCCCTTACCCCATCCCCCATCCACCCAGGAACCCCCTATCCCCTCACCCCTCCTCCTTCTTCTCTGCGATGTAACCCCTACATACCCCCCCCACTCCCACCTCCCCACCCTCAAATTCCCACCCCCTGGAGCATCCAGCCTTCATGAGGTCAAGGATCTCTTCTTCCACCTATGCCCAGCAGGGCCCTCCGCTGAAGCCCTGGATCCCTCCCTAAGTGCTCCCAGGCTGGTGGTTTAGACCCTGGGAGCTGTGGTTGGTTGGTATTGTTGCTCTCCTCATGGTGCTGCAAATCCTTTCAGCTCCTTCAGTCTTCACTCTAACTCCTCCATTGGGAACCCCATTATCAGTTCAATGGCTAGTTGTGAGCATCTGCCTCTGAATATGTCAGACTCTTGAAGATCTCTGAGGAGACATCCATATCAGGCTCTTATCAGCATGCACTTCCTGATTTCCACATCAGCATCTACCTTTGGTGACTGCACATGGGATGGATACTCAGGTGGAATTGCAGTAGGCAGTGCATCAGTCTCATAATCTGGGTTCTTAACGAAATTTCTCAGGATCATAATTGAGTTGCAGAACTATTAGGGGTAAGAAAAATCCATTGTAACATACAGTCATACATATCAGCCAATTTTAATGATGAAAACTTGAGTTTCTTATATTCAAACTAAGATTAAAATAGTCAATCTGATTAATGAAAAGATAAATAATCTAAAAAGCTTAGAGTTAACAATTGAGTATAAATTAAACTTAGTTTAAATTTCAATTTCATAGTGTAGCTTGTTCATTTAACAAATGGATTAAGCCCTACTCCTGGGTTCTGTGATCTCTCTGAGGCCTGAATGAAAGGCAAATAAGTGTTGTTCTTCAGACATTCAGGCAATATTAATGTACATATTGTGCAATATAATATAATTGGTAAAATGAAGAATAGCACATTTAATTTAAAAATAACAAAATAATTGGGAATACTTTAGGACTAGCAGAAAATATAATTATTTTATAGTAAGATGAAGAATAAATCATCTACAGCATCAATATTTCCACGAACCCTGACAATCACCTCCTGCTGTAGGAAAGGGGAACTGGTAACACTGCAAAATGTGGATCTACATCTTAAACCGGATCTAAGCATCTCTATTCACTTCCACTTTCCTCGTTTTCTAAACATAAAATGATTCAGAAACCTTGGTACATTTTTTTTACTTCTAAATTTTTACATTTATACTTAATGAGAAAGTCAAAAATAAATTTTGAGTTGGGGAGATAGTTCAATGAATAAAGTGTTTGCTCTATCTGCCTGGGGTCCTGAGTTTAATCCCAAGAACACATATAAAAACAAATTGAATACTGTGTATGTGCTTGAAGTGCTAGCCCTGAAGAGGCAGACACAGGTGGGTCCCTGCATCTCATTTATCAAGCAGCCTAACTGAGTTGGTGAGCCCCAGGTCCCCAGTGGGAGATCCTGTCCCCTAAACACCAGTATGGACATCTCTCAAGGAGCAGCACTCAGACTTTCACATGGATGCACACACATTTGCATGTGTACTCACACATACACAGGATCATTACACACAGACATACATGCACATGCACACGCATGCACAAACATACATACACACATGCGCACACACAGCACACACTAAATTTGTCCTATTATTAAGCAATTCGTTTAGTTAATCTTCTAAAGAAAAAACATATTTTACTTCTGCTGGTTACTTCAACGAGAAAGCAGCTCTCTAAAGGATGGAGTTCATTTTCATGTAAGATTATACAGCAAAAGCTGGATGATTCCGTGAAGAAATATTGAGGAAACTTCTGGGATTAGTTAGATTTAAAATCAGGTCATTTCCAAGAACTTATCTCAATCTAAAAGGCTACCAAAAGTAAACAAATAGATTTAGGAATATCTCTGCAAGAAAAAAGTAATTGCTAAGTATTGGGAGCATTTATATGTATATGTGTTTAATAAAAACAAATGTTCTACGGAATCAAGCCAATCTGAATTACGATTAAGTGGTACAAAGCTGTGGGCGTAACTAACCAGTATCTGACTAAGATGGAATGCATTCCCAATACTACTTGGATGGCCAAGAAACTGGCACTAGATAGTACACATAGTGATTCAGGGGAAAATCAGATACTACTGCTCTGCTAAGGGAACATAGCAATAAAATGACTTCTAGTGACATTCTGTTATACTCCTAGATCAGTGCCTTACTTGGCCATCACCAGAGAAACTTTCTCCTCCTGCAGTCGGGAACCAATACAGAGACCCACACTCAGACAATATGCAGAAAATGATAGACCTTGTAACACTCAGCCCTAAGAGGATGTCTCTGTCAAATCCTTACCTGCAGGGCTCAGGGAATACTGTGGTAGAGGAGGCAAGAAAAGTGTAAGAGCCAGAGTAAATCGAAGACACCAGGGAATCAGTAAAGTATGGCAAACACATGAACTCAGAGAGACTGTGGCAGCAGGCACAGGACCTGTGATAGTCTGCACCAGCTGGGATTCTAGATCTGAAAGTTATGTCCAATTGACAGCCAATTACAAATAAAAATTTCATTCTTTTCTAGAATCTACTGGGGAAGCAAAACACTCTTAAGGGTAGGTAGGCCTCATGCCCAACAGTAGATGGCCAATGTAAAAGGAGCCCAAGGGCATCTTTGTAGGTTCTCTGTCTCATAATATTAAAATGCGGTTTTTCTTTCTCTTTTTTTGCCTTACAGGTCCATAGACACACACACACACACACACACACACACACAAGCACTATTATGCCTTCTGGTTTTGTATTTTTATGGGATTCCTGTGTGTACAGTGTGTGTGTTTATGTGTTTATGTGCATTTCTTGTGCTTTTTCTTTGACCCTTTTTCTTGTTTGGTCTTTTTTGTCCTATTCCAATTGGTTTGCTTTGGTTTTATCTTATTGCAGTTTATTTTATTTTACTTTATTTTATTTTTATTGGATATTTTATTTATTTACATTTCAGATGTCATATTTTATTTTATTATTATTCTTTAGATTCCTACTTGTATTCTAACAAGAAATAAAAAGTACATGGACCCAGGTTGAAGAGGAGGTAGCAAGGGTCTAGGAGGAGTAGGAGAGGTGAAGTCATTAGAATATATTGTATGAAAAAACATATTTTTAATAAAAGAAAAATAAAAAATAATTGGATTAACTGATAATTCAAAAAATGAGGAAAATTGAAGAAGCAGTTAAGAAAATTAAAGGAAACTTTCACAGGACTGACTATAAATTTATTCTTCTTCCAATCATATAATTTAGACTTTAAATGTTACAAAAAAACAGAACAATCATGATATATTTGAAGTTTGATGACTTGAGGGAACTTAACCAATCAATGTTACTGTATT